CACAACCACACCCGGCTAATTTTTTTTTTTTTTTTTCCCCAACAAAGGGTTTCACCATGTTGGCCAGCCTGGTCTCGAACTCCTGACCTCTGGTGATCTGCCCGCTTGGCCTCCCAAAGTGCTGGGATTACAGGCATGAGCCACCGCACCTGGTGGATTTGTCATTTTAGATGCCATTAAGAACATGGGAGGAAGTGGAAATATCAACATTAATTGGAGTTTGAACAAGTCGATTCTGACCCTCATGAATGACTTTGAGTGTTTAAGACTTCAGTGGAGGGAGTAACGGTAAATGTGGTGAAAATAACAAGAAAACTAGAATTAGAAGTGAAGCCTGAAGATGTAACTGAATTGCTGCGATCTCATGAAAACACTTTAATGAATGAGAAGTTGCTTGTTATGGATTAGGCAAGGAAGCAGTTTCTTGAGGTGGACTCTACTCCTGGTGAAGATCCCATAAACATTGTTGAAATGACAACGAAGGATTTAGAATATTACATTATTAGTTGTTAAGGCAGCAGGTGGATTTGAGAGGACTGACTCCAATTTTAAAAGAAGTTCTACTGCTATCAAACAACGTAACATGCTACAGAGAAATCTTTCATGAAAAGAAGAGTCAATCAATGTGGCAAATTTCATTGCAGTCGTATTTTAAGAAATTGCTTTAGCCACCCCAGTCTTGAGCAACCACCACTCTGATCAGTTAGCAGCCATCAACATTAAGGCAAGACTTTCCACCAGGAGAAAGATTAGGACTTGCTGAAGTCTCAGATAATTGTTAACAATTTTTAGCAATAAAATATTTTTAATAAAGGTATGTACATTTTTCAGACATAATGCTATTATTGCACATTTAATAGACAACAGTGTAGTGTACTTGCAACTTTTACATGCACTAGGGAACTAAAAAATTATTTCGACTTGCTTTATTGCAATCTTATATTATTACGGTGGTCTGGAACTGAACTTACAATATTTCAATATCTCCTAGGCATGCCAGTGTGTGGAAATGCTCTGAAAAAATTAAACTCCATTCAAAGATCAGCTCTTTCACCAAGATTGCTCTACTGCACTCCAGCCTGGGTGACAGAGCAAAACTCAGTCTCAAAAAAAAAACCAAAAAACAAAAAAAACAAAAACACAAAACAAACAAAAAAACCCCCAAACAAACAAACCAAAGATCAGCCCTTTCTTATTTTAGAAAAGCCACATGACATACTTAAAAAAAAAGGTACAGACCTGAGTTCAAATCCTAAAGAGTAAACAGACAATAACTGTTTGCTTTATTCCTTTTTTCCCTTCCATAATATCTGTATTCAGGCAGGAGGAATGGACTGGTCATTAACTAAAGGGAAAGCAGTGGGGTGGTTAATGACAGACGCTGTGAAATCTTCCACCCCTGAGATCATCTGAAGTGTATACCCACAGTCTGTCTGGGAACTTCTACAACACTTTGTGAAATCTCACTTGACGTCTCAGTAATTCATTACAAAGTCTAATTATGCAAGTAGCAGCCGCAGACTATCAGCTGACCAAGCTGGTGATTGAAATCCTTCTGGTTGGCTGATAAAGTTCTGTCTGGAGTTTTGTTTACCTTTTTGATTACTGTGATTTGTGACTTCTAGTTCAATACTTTTTTTTTCTTAAGTCAGAGGTGCGGTTTTAAAAATTTATTTTCAAAATTGTCTTGTAAAATTGCTTGTATCCATTGCTCTGTGTGTGTGTGTGTGTTTCAGTCAAGCATTTTTTTTTTTTTTCTAAAGGAGCCAAACACTGAACATGTCCCAGCCTGCAGTTCACATGTTTTCCTTTTGCCTGTTTTGTCTTACATTAGGAAGTTGGGCCTGTAGTCAGTCAACTGTATGGCTTTTAGAAGAAGAAATTCTATATAGAAACAAGAAGAGATATTCTGAAATTAAGTTGCTCACAAAGATGAGACTCGATCTGTGGAATCTGGAATTTTGGAATGCTTCCTGTCGTGTTGATTCGATCGGCTTTGATTCTTAGAGTCTTACAGTCTCTAGGGAGAAAGCCCCAGTTCGAGTTCCCAGAGCCCCCGGGTGTGCATCAGATCTGTCATACTGTGAATTCCCAGAGTTGTGAGGGACTGTGGGAAAGAAGCCATCCTTGTTCTAACTGCTAGGACATCGCTCAGACATAAGGGGCTCATTTTTTGTTTGTTGAACAAACGTATAGATTAACGTCTTAAGTGGCTTCTTCAGGTTTGGAAAGCAGACAGCAGAGAGTGGGTTGGAGGGTTGGAAAGGTTATTTCTTTGTAGATCCAGCCATCTTACTAGTATACTTTGCTGTTCCTTTTTTGTTCCCCTCCCCCCACCCCACATTTTTTTCTTTTTTCTAAATCAGGGAGAGGGAAAACAGTTTCTTAATTTTTATTTTAAAAAATATCTAATACTTTTGTATTTGGCACATTTCACCTTAGGAAATTGCAATACTAATGAAATTGGTTTTTTTTTTTTTTTTATATGAATCACATGAAGTGACTTATTTTTAGGTTGTATGTTCTTGACGGGTAAGCCTTTTCTGAAATAAATGTCTATAACGAATTTTTTAGCTTAGGACGTGGGTAACCAACATTTCAAACATTTGTTTGAGAGGCAAGAGTTATACTAGAGTTACCCCTGCTCACCCAGGGGAGGGTGGTCAGAACCACTAGATGCCTGTGGCTTTTCACAAGAAAATGAGGACAGAGGCTCTGGCGGATAGGAGGTGGGTGGTCAAAAGATTAGAGTCACACTACTGTTTTACCACTACACTTTCTGCTTCATAGAACTAGAAAAAAAGCTAATGACTATGGTTTAATGTCAACAACTCTGAAAGAAAAATAATTTCATTCAAGCCCAGATTAAAACACGCTACTTAATTTAAAGGGCAATCAGTTTTATCGGCTAAGTTTTTTAAAAGGTCAACTTTAAGAAATGTTTCTTGCAGTTAAAAGAAATTAGATAAAGCTGAAAAACACGCTAAAAATTAAAATCACACTGTTGCTGAAACATGGAAAAAGACAGCATGTCAGAGTTGTGGTCCTCAGTTATTTTATTACAAGGTAGACTTGGGAAGTAAAGAAAATGTTAAAAACTTCTGGGCTCTGTGCAGCAGCATAACTATCAAAAAAGGCCATATTGCAAAGTATGATGAAGGTCACTTCCACGGAGATCACAAAGCCCTCATTTGGACATAACGGAAGTATAATTTTAGTAACAATCAAAAGCATTTTTGATAAAAATTATAACAACTATATTTAAAATGCAAAGCAAAATGGCAATTTAATAAACAGATTTTCAACATATTACATTAAAATTTGAAGCAAATAGAATGAGTTTCATCCTGATTTGCAGAACTCAGCTGATCATACACCTTTTTAAAAAAAATATCTACTTGAGCTTCCGTGCTGAGTAGCGCTAACATTATGAAAGTTTGTTGTCTTGTGTCATCTCCTAAATCATTTTTTAGAATTAGTTTTAATTAAGAAAAAGAACATTCTGTATGAGGAGAGTTTTGAAAGATAAAATCAACTTGATTCAGAAAAACATGGAGTCATCCTTAAGTTTCATGAGCATTATGTCATCAAATTCATCAATGGCTTCAATTTTTTCCAATTTTGAATATTTTGCCCAAAGCAGTAATTGCATTGGTGATGATTCTGATAGGTCAGTTTGATGATTTTTATACCATAATTTTCATGTGTTTGAATAACTTAGGTAGGAATAAAGGATGAAAATGTGGCTGGCAATTTTACTTGAAATTGTGTGTCCGTCTGTATTGCTACAAAATACATTTAAAGTGATGAGTAACAAAGTAGCCTCTTTGAGTAAGAACTACAAATGTTTGGATAGCTGTATTAATACGAGGCTGAGATAGGCAATACAAAATATTTTAAATAATCACTGAATTTCAGTGGAATTTTAGCTAGACAAGTATTTCGATGGAGGAAACATGATTGGAAAATGAATTTTGCCTAGTCTTTCAAATAATGACATTGTTTCCTATGGAATTATGCATGATTGGGCTAGAGTTCTTCTTGGCTAAAAATGGTCAAATATAGCAAATATAAACCATTGTGATTGCTTCTGGCCTTTGTTGATTACATTCAAGTCTTCTGAATCCTTTTAACTAAAAATGAAGAAACAGCAAATCACTTTCAAGGATGATCTCAACTCAAGATAAAATATATTAACATTATTAAAGTATAATACTAAATTTCTTAGCTTAGGTAAGTCCTCTGTAGAGCACAGACTCTGATGCAAATTATGAGCACTTCCCACCCACCTCCCCTCCATCCCTCCTCCCTACCTTCCTCTTTCTTTACTGAATATACTCTGTGCCAACCATGTGTCAAGCACTGTTTTAGGTGTCGAGGAATCAGTTTAGTTTTGATATCAGTCCTGGTAGAAATAACAATAACAGACCATGCTGAAGATCGGTTTTGAAGAAATCACCAGTTACCTATGAACATACGGCTCCAGAGTTAGGTGGGAGTGAGGAATAATAGGCCAAGCCCCTTCAAAAGATATTTCTAGGCTGAGTTTGCCCATAGGAACCCCAGCTCATCTTCTACTGTAGCCATTCACAGACTTCTCAGCCCTACCTAACCCAGAGACTGAAGCATCATTCCTGCTCCCTGAATACAGGCTGTTATTTATTATATCCATGCGGGCAAGGTGAAATCTGGCAGGCAGTAGCTTCCTTTGGAGGGGTTCTCATGTTAGGAGTGACGTGCAAGCTAACAGTAGAGGGTGGGGGATATCTCAGCAATTGCCTCTGTCTCCCAATGCTGCCTGTGCTCTCACTGCAGCCTCCTAGAGAACGAAGTTAATGGGAGGTCACAGGACACTGCCTCTGGAGCAGAAAGGTCTGAGTAGGCAGCATGGAAGAGGAAGACTGCCCAGTCTCATAGGTGAACTGATTGGGTCTGCAGTGGCATGGAGCCTATGAAAGCTTCAAATTGGAGACATTTTGCCTTTTTATTTATTCTTGTAGAAACAAGAAAGTCAGCTGTGTGGAAGACAATGACTCATACACTTTTGCTGTACTGCTTGGTGTTTCTTTTGCCCACAGAGTCATGTAGGACGTTGTACCAGGTAAGAAAAGGGGAAGGAGTGGAGGATGAGCTGGTGGGGAAAGCAAATGGACAAAAAAATCCATCAGCTACCAGCTCTCACTTACCAGAGAGCTGAAGTATAGGGAAAAGATGGTGATAGAGTGACTGGCCCAGCCAGTAGTAATTACAACTACAGCTAACCAAAACCCACTTTAGCCATTAGCTACACATTGTTTGTCTCTCAGCCTTTTCTCATGAGTTCCTGAGATGCAATGAGGCTCAAGTGATTTAAGAGTAATAAATACTTTGTTTTATATCTTCTGATAGTGAATGTTTCAGTTGTTCATAACCAGGGTGGTACCATTTCCTGGGGGCACTTGAAAATGTGGGGATCTTAAGGGTTGCCACAATGACCAGGAGGTATTCGTGGCATTTAGAGGTAGGGCCTCTAAAGAGATAGGGCCTAGGAATGGCCTGGCATAATGAAGCCTTGTCCCATCCAAAATGGCAATAGCATCTCCCATAAGAAACCTGATAGAAACCTGAAGAAACTCCCATAAGAAACATCTCCCATAAGAAACCTGAAGAAACTCCCATAAGAAACCATAACCATGAATGGGTTAGAAGGAGCAATGAGGAGCTAGAAGGAGCCAGAAGGAGCTGGAAGGAGCAATTCAGGCAGTGGTTAAGCGAGGTCTCACTGGGACAGATTTTCTGGCAATGGACTATTTTAAATTTTGTAGGACAGGGGGCCCTATGACTCTTTCTGAAATATTTTTCCTGACACCATAAGTAATTTTAATTTTCCTGTTAATTACTCATTTAAAATAAGCTGTGGAGGAGCACTTGAGAGAGGATACATGAAAACATTTGAGCATCTTCTGAAGAGAGTACTATTATTTGACCACAAATTCTGGAAGGGAGCTTTGAGATCAACTGGTGAAACTCCACGTCCTTATTTTGCAGTTGGGGGGATGGAGACCCATGGTGTGAGATGTGATTTGCTTGAAGTACATACTTACTCAGTTACAGGGCCAAGGCCAGAACCCCTGTTTTCAGATTCTTGGCTTCTTGATCTTTCCATTTTAATGTATGTCTTCTCAGCAAGAGCCTTTTTAGGAAAAAATGACTTTGGAAGTTCCTTCCAAGAGTTTTTCAAATGATATTTACTTTACCCTCAAGTTAGTTTGTCTTTGCATGGGAATCTTCTGCATGGCTCCCCTTCCCCACTAATACTAAACAGGTACCTGGTTTCTGGGAGAAGTTAGAGACTCTTGGAAAGACCATTTCCTGAAGGCTGTCAACCCTCCAGTTTGTTACTAATTCCTCCTTTCATTCCATTTCTGCATTCACAGTTTTCTACAAGACAGAATGTGGACAGTAGGTAGAGCATGGGAGGTTGGCTTTGTTTCTCTTGATCATTGAGATTTACCTTACTGGGAACATTCTATCCTTCTCTTCTCATTAGATAAGCTACTGGGTGCTGAGCTACTGAGCTGCTGATACTGCTGGCTCCTGACCTGCCTATGCACCCAGGCAGCTCAGCAGGTTCTGCAGGTTGCCGGTTTGCAAGCCTCTTTTTTTCACAGTATTAGGTTGGGGACGGTTGGTATCCCAAGCTAAAGTAATCTATACTGGATGCTACACTAGAAATGAAATAACCAGAGGAGTATGTGATGTGCTTTGCAAATTAGATGGGAAGAAATTAATCAGATCCTTCCCTTAAGAAGGCAGAGTTTTCAGAACTACAAGTAAACAGAATATCATGGTTTTCTGCCCATATACATGATAAATATAATGTGACTTCACTAGAGTTTATTTAATGGACCAAATATCATCCAGAGTTGTTGACCTATAACTGCCTTTATCACAGTGCATTGAACACCGTGGTCCTATCAAGATGGTGTTGAGTATCTTGAGATGCCTGTATTTCCTTCCACTCATCCCCTCTGCCTGTTGCCCTTGGACACAGGCTGGCTGTTTAGAAAAAACAATATTGTAGGATCAGGAGATCTAAGTTCTCATCCTAGCTGTAAGGGGCATTTCCTGCATGGACTTGTACAAATCACTGCAATATCAAGCCTCATTTTCCTTAACTGTAAAATAAGAGGGCTGGATTGGATGATCTATAAAGTCTTCCAAAATTCTGAAGATGTTATTTTAGCATTCTTGTTTGGTGCAAGAATTTTAATTCTTCCACTTATAAAATAAGGCTTGATTCTCTGGACTAGAAAATGAAAAGTCATCTTCTGTCAGTGATTTCACAGATATGAATCCTCAGTGATACTTTCTTGACTTCGGAGAGATCCCAAAAGCTCAATTCAGATACCCCACAAGTTCTTATTCAGTAGAGAAAACAGGGAATATTCAGCTTTGTTTGTTGATAACATAGAGAGAAGTAAGGTTGTGAAGAAGAACCCCATGAGTTGGCATGAACCGCAAGAGTTAGTCACAGAGCTGTGTCATCGAATTTCCAATTTCTTCCTCAATGGATTAGAACTTGGAGCCCAAGTTGCAGTAATTGGGTCAAGGCTCTTCTCAGCCACTAGGAAACACTATTCTGGTGCAGAAGCAAGAAAACTGAGTCTTTCTCTTTCTCCTTACACACACATACACACATGTACATATATGTCAGTGTATATATATGCATACTAAAATGTATATATGCATACACACATATGCACAAGACACTGAACTAGCTACTTGGAGGAATATACTGAAGCACAATACACAGTACATGTTCTTAAGGAACTTGCGATTTAATTGAGGAGTTAATATGCTTCTATAAAAAAGATTAGATAGCAAAATGGCAGGTCAGGTGAGAATATGCCAAGCATTGAATGTGTGTATGGCTGTATGGATGATGATCCCTGTAGGAGCCAGAGGAAAAGATGTATCATGTACAGAACTGGATCAGGAAAGATCTCTTGGAAGGGGGAAACGTGAGCTTTGTATGTAATTGACGTTTGACATTCTTAAGTTTATGTGCAGAGTAATAACAGTAGTAAATCCTTAAATAGACTTATAGTATTCTTAGAGCCCATTCCTAGTGCTTTTCATAGATGAGCACATTTATTCCTCATAAACATGCTCTAGGGCAAGTATCATACAATTATAGTGCTATAGTTCCTACTCTACTTTATGGAAGAGGAAACTGAGGCTCAGAGGGATAAAGTTTCCCAAGGTCTCAGATGTTGGTGTTGAGATTTGAACCCAGGTTGTTGTCTACTCCCAGAGTACATCCCTTGACCACTATGTGACACTTTCTTAGTGAAGGGTCAGATATGGTCTCAATGGATGGGACAAAGAGGGGGTTCTAATTAGGACTGATGGAGATGCTCATGGTGTGCGGGAGCTAGGTTTTGGGGGAGTTCTCCTAAGGAAAAAGAATGCAATATTACACATACAAAACTAAGGGAAAAGTGAAAATTTATTTAGAATGAGAACAGGAATCACAACAAATTTCAAATTTAGAAATGCTGGATAGTATTATTTAGCATTATTCAGTAATAAAACAATATTTTTTATTAATGAAATGCCCACCTTTTAGTTCCTACATTTTTGACTGCATACTTGCATGATCTTATTGTTTTTTCTATAGAGAGAATAGAAATATTATTGTCTTTCCTCCAGCATTATTGATCAAATTTGTTTCTCATTATTCCTAGTTTAGAAAAGTATCTTTCAGTTTCTAATTTATTATTAGTAATGGCATGTAAGCATGTTGGACTGTTATCAAATTTGGGAAAATTCTATCCAATTTATTTCATATGTGAGCTGCAAGGTATCAGGGAACTTAGAATTTTCTTGTTCTGTGAATAATTGTAAATGTTCCTGGCATTGATATCACTTAAGTGTTGATGTTCTCATTGTAATGCAGAAGTGACTGAAAACTACATAACTATATCCTACTAAATTCAAACTAAACGTATCCCAGCTTAACTTGTCCAGAATCCATGAATAGATATGGCTTCTCTAGTGATACCCAAAATGAGAGGGAGTATGAAGGAGGCAGAACTGAAATGGCACAAAATGATGGTCTTAACAGATGGTAGGTGGTTAAAACATTTTGCTTTTGATAATTTAATAAAACATATGATCACATGAATACATGAGATGATCTGCTCATTGCTAGATCCTTTCCCAGGGCTTCAAAAGGTCCCATATGAGCAAGGCTCTCTGAGGCTTAACCTTCGTCAATTTCTTGCTCAATCCACTTCTGCTCATAACATGTTTCCTGGATAGAACATAGACTCTTCTTACTGGAGAGAGAGGAGTGCTCCTACTGGGTAGCAGTGGGAGAGAAAGTGGTCCAGGCTGAAGGGAAAATGGGGTCACGGAGGAGCCGTAATTCATGGACTCAGCTTTGGGTGGGCCATGCTGGTATCATAGTTAATTTAACTGTGGTTGTTTGTGACTAACGTGAGCTGTTGGGCTGGCATACCAACAATTGATTTTGATGCAAATTTTGATTTTCCCTTTCTAGGCTGCCAGCAAAAGCAAGGAGAAGGTGCCTGCCAGGCCATACGGTATGTTGGCAGCAGTTACTTATCACATGGAAGTTTTGCTGTCCATCTATTGTAATAGAGGGCCATTCTCAGCCCTCTGTCCTGTGGCATGGCAGATGGAATCCTTGATGACTTGCATTTGGACTCTGATTATTTCCTGCATATTAAATTGTACCTTTGCCTTTTTTTTCTTTTTGACGTTTACGTTAGGGGGTACACGTGCAGGTTTGTTACACTGGCGAATTGCGTGTCACTGGGGTGTGGTGTACGAATGATCCCACCCAGGCAGTGAGCATAGTACCAGGTAGCAAATTGTACATTTCACCCCACCCTGTTCCTCTCTCCTCCCAGTACCCTCTGCTCCACCCTTGTCTGAGAATTCTTTGCCATAGATCCTTTGGATTGAGCCCATTCAAACTGGTCCAGTGGCTAGAATAGATCTGTGAGAAGTCATTGATGATATAACATATTATAGAGTTCCTAAGCTGAGAGACTTCTTAGAAAACATTGGAAGCAGTGGATTCCAACTAGAGCATCTGGGGAGCTTCAGGGGTCTGAGGAAGTATTCAGGGGTTCCTGTGAGGGTGTGAGAGTGACCTAGTGGACTGCACTGTGGGTTTGTCCCTCTCACTTCACCTGGGACAGTTCTAGATTTTTTTGGTTGTTGTTTTTTTAGACAGTCTCACTCTGTCTCCCAGGCTGGAGTGCAGTGGCACGATCTTAGCTCATTGCAACCTCTGCGTCCTGGATTCAAGCAGTTCTCCTGCCTTAGCCTCCCGAGTAGCTGGGATTACAGGCACACGCCACTATGCCCAGCTAATATTTTGTATTTTTAGTAGAGATGGAGTTTCACCGTGTGGCCAGGCTCGTCTCAAACTCCTGACCTCGTGATCTGCCCACTTTGGCCTCCCAAAGTGCTGGGATTACAGGTGTGAGCCACTGTACCTGGCCATGTTCCACTTTTATCTATTTTATACACTGCAGTTCAGGATAAGATTTTGTTGGAAACAATAACATTTTGTTGCTAAAATAGATGATGACCACTGATCCATTTCAGTCTTCCTCCACTTTAGGAAGAGAAGACACTGATATCTTCAGTATTTATGTGCTGTCACTGGCAGTGACACCTTGGTGACTGGCCCAATGGGCCCAGAGCCCAGACCTTCCCATCTGATATGGTCTCCTTTCATTTTCCGAGGCGTATGCGATGGTGTCTGTACAGACAACTCCCAGTGTACTCAACCTTGCCCTCCAGACACTCAGGGAAATATGGGGTTTTCATGCAGGAAAAAGACATGGCACAAGATCACTGACACCTGTCGGACTCTTAATGCCGTCAACATCTTTGAGGTAATGTCTTTTCTTTGCAATATGGATTCTGATGTGCACTGTATGAGCACAGTGGAGGCTCCCCTTGGCAGTGGACATTGCCTTCAGTAAGAGAGAGGACGAGCATGTGGCAGGGCAGCGTGTAGGGATGGGTGAATAGATAAGCATCCACTAGTCTCATTTTCTATGCAAAAATAGCCTTCTAAACTTGGAGTATGTGAAAGTTTGTGCTCATGGACTCCTGGCCATGTGAAGGGGCAGGCTGCAGGAGGGCCAGAAGGGGGTCCTCTAAAGCAAGGGTTAGTAAACTTCTGTAAAGTGACAGACAGAAATATTTCAGGCTTTGTGGGTCACATGGTCTCTGTCGTGCCTACTCGACTCTACCATTGTAGCATGAAATCAGCTGTGGATAGTGTTTAAATTAACAGGCAGGTTGCATTCCAGTAAAACCTTATTTGCAAAAACCAGGCAGCCAGTCTGGGTCCATAGTTTGCCACCCGTGCCTTAAAATATGGGAACCAGAGTCTGAATCTATGGGAGATACTTTCTATTGCTATTTTCAGTCTTGGTGTTCCAGTTGATTCATCCAAATCGAGTTTCAAATTTCTATTTTTAAGACAGACTCATCACTCATGATTTGCCCTTCATAAATATTACAAATAAGCTTAAATGGTACTAGAAATTTCTATATATACAGGTTGTCTGAAGTGATATGCTGAAGATAACAGTTGTTATTTGGGGAGGGGGGATTAAAGAATAGGTAGATGGGAAGTAGAGACTTTTATTTGCTGGTTCATGCAACTCGGTATTGGTCAAGTTATTTGACAGCAGATGTGACTCTGAAAGTGTAAAACAGAAAAACATTATGTTAGGCTGTCCTAAGTTTTAGTAAAGGTACTTTTACGTTTAACACAAAAATAAAAATTATAAAAATTTCTTTCTTTTTGCCATATCGTAGGAGGATTCACAGTTGGTTCAGCCATTTGAAGACAATATAAAAATAAGTGTATATACTGGAAAGTCTGAGACCATATCAGATATGTTGCTACAAAAGTGTCCCACAGATTTGTCTTGTGTAATTAGAGGCATTCAGCAGTCACCCCGGATACCAGGAAACATTGCCATAATTGTGCAGCTCTTACACAACATATCAACAGCATTATGGACAGGTGTTGATGAGGAAAAGATGCGGGTGAGTGTCCCTGAATACTTGGAAGAACATTATCTCAGTGCGAAAGGAATGCAGGTTAGTTCGAGTATTATGTGAGCTTCTTAGGGACTAGGAACCATTCTTTCACATCAGTGTTTCTTATGTCTAGCAAAGCAAGTGTTCAGTAAATATTCATTAAAGAAAGGATGAATAAATGAATGGAAAAAGTAAACTTATTTAATCAACAAATATTTATAGAGAGCACTTACTTGGTACTGTAGTGAACTTTAGAGTATGATTTACCAATGTATCTTTTGGCTACTGAATACATTTAAGAAACATTCTGTTTTGGAGAGAGAAAGACTTTTCTTATTTTCATTTATGAGTTAGGATAGGTTGCTAAAATGGAAAATAATTGAATGAAAAAAAAAAAACAAAAAAAAAATAAAAAAAATAAAAACACAGCCATACCTATCCATTGCAGAAACATGAAATAGAACTGGGTCCATTTTGCTTAGTTTTGATCTTCAAAGCAAAGATAATAAAAAGTAGATTCAGACTCCAGGGTGAATTTCCAATTTATTACGTTCTTGTATAGGGCCCTGCAACACATTTGGGATGCAACAGAGGTTAAACACGTGATGGGTTCTCTGAACAGGGTAAGCAAGTTGCTAGTTTTGCCTAGGTGTGATGTGGAGGGAATGATGGACAGGAGCATGTGGAAAGCTGCCCAGTGGCCTGGCTCACAGGAGGCCATTGCATAAATGGAGGAGGGCATGGTGAGGCAATTCCTTTGTAGCTCTATCATCTAAGTCAAACTTCAGTGTACATACAAGTCACCTGGGGATCTTATTAAGATGCAGATTCTGATTCATTAAATCTGGGGTGGGATCTGAGATTCTATATTGCTAAGAAGTTCCCAGAGTATGCTTAGGTTGCTGGTTGGAGGAGCACGCTTTATAAAAGTGAGTGTTGAATGCACTGGCAGTTTCAGAGAGTGGCTCAGTACTAACACTGGTTCTTTATTGTCAGAGTTACAGCACCATAGCCAACCACATTCTTAATAGCAAAAGCATCTCCAATTGGACTTTCATTCCTGACAGAAACAGCAGCTATATCCTACTACACTCAGTCAACTCCTTTGCAAGAAGGCTGTTCATAGATAAATATCCCGTTGACATACCAGATGTCTTCATTCATACTATGGGCACCACCATATCTGGAGATAACATTGGAAAAAATTTCACTTTTTCGATGAGAGTTAATGATACCAGCAATGAAGTCACTGGGAGAGTGTTGATCAGCAGAGATGAACTTTGGAAGGTGCCTTCCCCTTCTCAGGTCATCAGCATTGCATTTCCAACTATTGGGGCTATTTTGGAAGCCAGTCTTTTGGAAAATGTTACTATAAATGGGCTTGTCCTGTCTGTCATTTTGCCCAAGGAACTTAAAAGAATCTCACTAATTTTTGAAAAGATCAGCAAGTCAGAGGAGAGGAGGACACAGTGTGTTGGCTGGCACTCTGTGGAGAACAGATGGGACCAGCAGGCCTGCAAAATGATTCAAGAAAACTCCCAGCAAGCTGTTTGCAAATGTAGGCCAAGCAAGTTGTTTACCTCTTTCTCAATTCTTATGTCACCTCACATCTTAGAGAGTCTGATCCTGACTTATATCACATATATAGGCCTGGGCATTTCTATTTGCAGCCTGATCCTTTGCTTGTCCATTGAGGTCCTAGTCTGGAGCCAAGTGACAAAGACAGAGATCACCTATTTACGCCATGTGTGCATTGTTAACATTGCAGCCACTTTGCTGATGGCTGATGTGTGGTTCATTGTAGCTTCCTTTCTTAGTGGTCCAATAACACACCACAGTGGATGTGTGGCAGCCACATTTTTTGTTCATCTCTTTTACCTTTCTGTATTTTTCTGGATGTTTGCCAAGGCACTCCTTATCCTCTATGGAATCATGATTGTTTTCCATACCTTGCCCAAGTCGGTCCTGGTGGCATCTCTGTTTTCAGTGGGCTATGGATGCCCTTTGGTCATTGCTGCCATCACGGTTGCTGCCACTCAACCTGGCAAAGGCTACCTACGACCTGAGGCCTGCTGGCTCAACTGGGATATGACCAGAGCCCTCCTGGCCTTCGTGGTCCCAGCTTTGGCCATCGTGGTAGTAAACCTGATCACAGTCACACTGGTGATTGTCAAGACCCAGCGACCTGCCATCAGCAATTCCATGTTCCAGGAAGTGAGAGCCATTGTGAGAATCAGCAAGAACATTGCCATCCTCACACCACTTCTGGGACTGACCTGGGGATTTGGAGTAGCCACCGTCATCAATGACAGATCCCTGGCCTTCCACATTATCTTCTCCCTGCTCAATGCATTCCAGGTAAGTCCAGATGCTTCTGACCAAGTCCAAAGTGAGAGAATTCATGAAGATGTTCTGTGATTAGGAGCTTGTGGCATTAGATTTCTATGTAAAAGCCAGTGGATTCGGAATAGCATATGGAGTGGAGAAATAAACTTTTGTTCCAGAGAGACCTGGATTTGGATCCTGACTCTTTCATTTACTAATAACGTATAACATGATCTTGGGATATTTACTCAACTTTTTCGAGCCATATTTTCCTCACATATAAAATGAGTGCAATACTGTCCACTTTATAGGAGTGTTTGGAAAATGAAATTAAATGCTGAATGGGAAAGGATCAAGTACTAAAATGATCTAAAGATCATAGACAACCTAGTAATAGGCTAAGTTGTTATGGTTTAAAAATTAAGCAATAACACTCTCCCAAAAATTTAGGTATATTACTGGAGGTATTAAAGTTTGCACATTTATTACATTTCCTTCCACTTAGAATTTTTAGCTACCATTGGAAACCATCTTATTTTAACATGGCAAGCTATACAGAAAAAGTATCGAAGATCATTTCTCCTTTCTTCTCTTATCACACTTAGATGAATTAAGCAATGTTCACAGTTTCATGTGCATCCTTTGCCAAATTTTCTATGCTCATACAAATATATTTTCACATAACACAGGGGTTAAAACAAGGTATATGATTGTGTAACTTGCTTTTGCACTTAAAAATATGCGCTAGAATTTTACCAGCTCATTATGTATGAATATGTCTCTAATGGCTGCATAGCATTGCATATTCAATAATTTCCTTCTTGATTGAAATTTTGTTTTTTTTTCCTTTTTTTATGTTATAGTGTGTGAATGATCCAAAGTTTATTATATTGAATGTTAATATGTAGATAGCAACTAATTGAAAAGGAAGCTTTTATTTTTCTAAAGATATCTAAAACATTATCTTTTTTTCTGAATGCATGCGGTAGCCAGTAAGACTATTTTCAAGTAAATGCTCCACCTAATTGCTAATAGATATCTTGAGTCAAGTGTCTTCTCATTTTCCTTTTTCAGAATTTATGTATAAATGATTTTACTTTATAATAAACACTTTGATGTCTTGAAGAACAAAGTTAATAACAATAGGGGTATTTCATATTTTGAGTCTCTACTTTTTTTGCACTTTTATAGAAAATATTAATTGTATCCTACATTTGTATAGCTTTTGGTAGTTATCAGTTGCTTCATGCATGTTTACAAAACTAGTCATTGAAAAGACTTGGGTAAAAACCCTATTTTTCATAAACCCCTCATGAGCTCATGACTCACTCCACAGTATTTTCCTTCTCTTGTCTCCCTTAGGGCCGTCTTCCCTGTGAGTTTTGTTTTGGACAAGGCTGTGAGCACTTGCATTTTGATATCTTGAGCACCTTTACCTGTCATTGTAGGATCACTTGTGCTTTCAATTTCATTTCTGCCTTGAATCCCAGTAAGGAGCAGGGAGGGGCCTACCTAAACGCCAGTGCAGACGGGGTAGTGAGGAGCTGAGAACAAAGTGTTGGTGAGGCCAGTGGGGGGCACTGGGCAGTGCTGTGTTGGTGCTGGCCTGTATTGACTCACAGAAGCTGCCTATTATATTTTCAGGATTGTTCTGAGTTGGCTGTGAACACCGTCATCAATAACAATTAAATCCTATAGACTTGCAATTAAACAAATTGGGTTAAAAGTAAAGGTCATATACCCTCAGAACTCATCACTTCCTAATTATTTGTCTACCTTTTCTCTTGAGGTTACTTGCCTCTATTGTGTCTGCATGGTGGAAAATCTGTACAATGATGTGCTACTGCCCACCTCTTTCTAAATCCATGCTCAGCGATGTCACAGGGCAAGATTCAAATAGGCCATGGTGGGGGTAATTAACTATAGAGATTGGCAAACACTACAAATAAGGAGAGTTTATTGCCATTTACTAGCATATCACTGGATCCTCTGAGGGAGGAGAGAGAGGAGCCATGGATCTACTGAGATGGGAGACACAACCAACTGGGTGTAAAAAGCAGGAGAAGTAGAGTCTTAGGATGAGATGAGGGGCAGCAGCAGAGGCTGATGGAGCACAGACAGAGGGGAGAGATTCTGAAACATATTGAGAGGCCCAGAGGATGTGGGAGGAAGACTCTTGTAAAGATTTCCTGGTCTTAGCCCCAGGGGAATACCTGCACTAGTTTTAAAACTCACCCATCCCCTTTACTAGAGAGGTTTTATTATGGTGTCAGTTGCTGCCTCGACTACCCACCTTGTCCATCCATAACTTCTGGTTGTATTTACTGAGAGTGATTGTGGGCTGGGTGAGTTTTTGGGACTCCCTCATAGCCATTTTGGTGGGAAAAAATAAAGCACATATACCAAACCCTGGGAGAACACCTTGAGAGTTACCTGTCCAAACTGTGCTTTACCTACTAAAAGAAATGCTACTGGTGAATTGTTTGTTAGGTATATTCTTTCTTCCCTTCTCAACCAGATACCAAACTTTATGGCCAATCTTTTAATCCAAATCTTCTGAAAGATGTTTTGCATAACTTTATCTAAGGTGGCACGGGCCAACGAAAAGTGATCCTAGTGGAGTATTTCCCTGATACATGTTTATAAAGTCATGTTAAAGTCATGTTTATAGTCATGTGACATGACTATAAAAGTGCAGGTTGCATACTAAAGAAATTAAACACATACATACACTCAAATGAAGAGACACCACATTTACTACTTATTTTGTGCCAAGCATTATGCTTAATGTTGCAGATACAAATATAGATAGACCAACCCCAAGGAATTAAAAATCCTATAAGGAGAGAAATTCTTCTTAGTTCTTTAGCCAAAGAATATTAGCCATCAGCATATTTGTAGAAAAAAGCATGCTAGCATTGTGGTTCCCAGATCTTTAAAAAATATAATTCCTGGCCCAAATTAACGGAGATCCTGACTTGAAATGTATTCCTAGTACCAAAATCAGGCTGGAATATATTTGTCAGAAGGGGTCTTATAATTATGCATGATAACTTTGCAACATAATGGACCATGACAACAATAATTTTTTTTTGTAGCAGATACAATAAGAGATTTCAATAATTACCTTGTAGGCTCAGAGTGTTACACAGAAGAACAATCTCATAAAAGCTACATGGAGATTAAGCTTTTGAGGGTTGGACTGGCTGAATAGGAAGGTGTATGTTAGTGTGTTTGGGGGACTGGATTAGCTGCAAGGATATACACTGGTCCCTGTAAAGTTCTCCACCTCTCATCTGGGCTTTTACCAAATAGTGGCAGATTTGGTATTGTTCTCAGCGATGAATACCAGGTTGTAACATCTTTGTGGTGCCAGCTGTATAAAACCCATGCCCGTTAACAGGCCTCTGGGTAGGTAAGAGTTCCGGTAAGAGTTCACTCTCACTTGTGAAGTCAGAGCAGCTTAGCATGGGTATTCCTAAATAAAAGGTCATTATCTAACCTCCCTTTTCAGGTGAGCCATGGATGAAGAAACTGCACATTTAGGAGAAATTGTTGTCTAATGAATGTTCCTGTCTATCACATTTTGAATGCTGAATCTCAGCTTCCTTTTCCTTAACTGGAAAATGGAACTACAACTTGCCATTCCTTCCTCAAGGGGGGTTTTGTATCAATGTATGTGAAACAGAAGTAAAAACTTCAAATGGACTATAGCTATAGAGGAACAGACTGTTTTGGGTTTTATATGGAGTTTTTTGTTTGATATGGAAAATAAAAGATATAAAAGCTAATTAATTCCTTCTACATCATCATATTGGGAATACTTGTCATGTGCTTAGAAACTCAATCTATTTAAAGTCATTAAGTTTTTGAGGATGTATACACTTGACTTTTCTTTGCAAGTTTTATAATATTCTTTGTAGTGGATGAGGAAGGAGGTTGAAGGTGTTATGGGAAGTTGAGCAACAGCTGTTTCTGCTCTTTTCTGTGGAAGGCTTCTCCTACTTACTGTTCAAGGACGGCAAGCCTGCATTCGTTGCCCAACACCTCCTCTGATTCTTTCTTGGATTATTATATTCAGTTGAGAGGCCCAGCTCCTGCTAAGTGCAAACACTTTTAATTTGCCCAACTTAAAAGGAAAGTTTAAAAATATTCCTGTATGATGTAGGGACCTTGGTCTCTTTGGTTTACTGAGGTGCCTCTACAGTGACTGGCATATGGAAGACACTCATCAATATTCATTGAATGAATCCAGGTATTATGATCTAAGGATGATAAATTAAGAGATTTCATAAAATTGTTTTCTTTTTATCAAAATAGGAATTGGTAATAACTGAGAGTGTGTTTTATCATCATCATTCTTTCGTAAATGACTCTTCTTCCCTCTTCTGCGTTTCCCAGGGCTTCTTCATCCTAGTGTTTGGAACCATCCTGGATCCAAAGGTACTGAATGTAAATTCTTCTTGTTGCTTTTTCTGTATTATAGGTACTTGGCCATGTAAAGGCTTGTAAAGGCTATTTATTGAAAAGGTCTCACTTCAGTCATTTGTACAGATGTATGAAGCCTGGATCACTGCTCTTTACAATGCAAATGATATTGACCAGCTTGCAAGTTCTTATGGGAATGAATGTTTTACGTACATTAGTGCTGATTCTTAAAACAATTGTAGGTATTGATATTTTCAATTTTACAGATGAGGAAACTGAGACTTAGAGTGAACAGCTTGCTCAAGATCACTACAGAAACCCACTCTGAATAGTTGAAGCAGAAAAGGAACTTATTAAATCTTGCAGTATTATCTTTGGGAGGGTCTCTTCGGCTTGGAGTTTTGGAGGCTCTGCTCCAGGAATAGTTACCAATGCACAGCACAGAAACGCTCCACAAGAGATACCATTGCTCTTCCCCGCTTTGCTGGGCACAGATAGCACAGCTCACCAGGCCAATGTCAGGCAGTAAACACTTAAGCCAGAGTTGCTGCTACTGCTGCCTGGGAGATCGCCTCACCCTGCCTGTCTGGTACACCAGCACCCGGATTTATTCATTGTCATGTCTGATTGGCTGAGTTCAGGTCACATGGTCATGTCTTAGCTGCAAGGTTGGGTGGAAGTGTGAGTTCCTACTTGTATCTTGAACAGCAGTGGAGTCAAGAAAAGACACTCTTCAAATGCAGATGAATCTTGACAAGTGATGAGCATTGAAAACAAATAAAAACCAAGCAGAGGAATAACCCCTCAAATGTTTATTCAGGCTTCTAAAACCACCCTCTTTCCATTGTACCATACTACCTTCTGGAAAAAGTAAAGCAAACAACCCTCTCAGATATAAATGCAAAACCCTTCTGTCAATTAAAGTAAATAAATAAATAAAAATAAAAAGGAACAGTACCAGGTTGGATTTACAAAACCAAACCCAAAACCCCAAACAAACAAAAACGTAATCCACTCCTTCCCCCAAGCACCCCACCTTCACTGCAGTTTCTTGTTTGTTTACTTATTTATTTATGTTTTACTATTTATTTTTTACTTATTTATTTATTTTTTACTAAATAAGAAGAGCACCTGTATTCAGCTGGCAAGACTTAGAGAAAAGGGCATGTTAATTTTTTTTTTTTTTTTTTTGAGACAAACTTTCACTCTATTACTCTGACTGGAGTGCAGTGGCACCATCATGGCTCACGGCAGCCTCCACCTCTTGGGCTCAGATGATCCTCTCATCACAGCCTCTTGAGTAACTGGAACTACTGACACATGCCACCACACCCAGCTAATTTTTAAAAGTTTCTGTAGAGATGGGGTCTCCCTATGTTGCCCAGGTTGGTCTCGAACTCCTGAGCTCAAGGGATACACTCATCTTGGCCTCCCAAAGTGCAGGGATTATAGGAATGAGCTACTGCATCCAGCCTACTGCCAGTAATATTCTATTAAATTAATATAAAAGGTTTGTTAAAAGGTCAGGAGATAGAGACCATCCTGGCCAACGTGGCGAAACCTCATCTCTACTAAAAAATACAAAAACATAGCCAGGCATGGTGGCATGTGCCTGTAGTCTGAGCTACTCAGGAGACTGAGGCAGGGAAATTTCTTGAACCCGGGAGGTAGAGGTTGCAGTGAGTCAAGATCACCCCACTGCACTCCAGCCTGGCGACAGAGCCAGTTGGGATGCAGAGATAATAATGTTTTCTCTGCCTTCTCCATTAGATTATGGCAAAGAACAAATGCAATTTTGTAGGTAAAAACACAAAGCACTTAAGGTACTGCCCAGTCATATGCCACAGGATTATGTTTCTATTATCTGTAAAACCACAACTAGTATCTGTAGCCAGAGTACCAGCAGCTGCATTTTTACTTAGTTTACCGGTGTTAGGTGAGATGTGCAAAGAACTCCAAGCCATGGAAACTTCTATCAAGATCAAAACCTCTTACCTTTGCAATTATGATATGAAAAGTAAATACTCAAAAGTGTCACAGGACCATACATGATTCATTGACCAAAAGTGGTATATACCAGTAGTCTTCAAACTTTTAGGATTAGTAAAACACAGTGAGCACATATCCCTAGATGTGTTCATTATTAACTTAAAAAGTGTTACGTACATTGTGAAACCTAAGAGTGAAAAAGGGTGCGAACAAAGAAATGTAAGTAGAAGTGCCAATGTATCTTACAAATTCCAGTGGGCCCTTGAGCACACCGTCCTCCATCCCTGGCGGGTGGTTTGATGTCTGTGTGTGACAAAGAATATGGCATCTGCAGGGAAAGGGGGAGCCACCCTGAGCCGGAGGGCTTTGGCATATATGAATTGTGAACACAGAACTTCTACAAGGCCTTAGAAGGTGAATAATATTTTGTATAGCAGAAATAAGAAGAGGGCCTGTATTCAGCAGGCAAAACTTAGAGAAAAGGACAGGATGACCTAGTCAGGGAAGATGAATTTCATGGGCTGTTGCTATGTTGTATAGTACTTTTTTCTTTGAGATGGGATGTCGCTCTGTTGCCAAGGCTGGAGTGCACTGTCGTGATCTCAGCTCGCTGCAACCTCCACCTCCTGGGTTCAAGCGATTCTCCTGCCTCAGCCTTTTGAGTAGCTGGGGTTACAGGTGCCCATCACTGCGCCTGGCTAATTTTTGTATTTTTAGTAGAGAGGGGGTTTCACTATGTTGACCAGCCTGGTCTCGAACTCCTGACCTCAAGTAATTCCCCTGCCTTGGCCTCCCAAAGTGCTGGGATTACAGGCATGAGCCACCATATCCAGTCGTATAGTACTTTCTTCCTCTAGAAAAGGTCATTTGAATAATTGACAAATTGTGAGAAGTGATTACATAAGTGCTCCATAAAAATAATGCCAAAGCTAGGCCAGGTGAGGTGGCTCATGCCTGTAATCCCAGCACTTTTAGGAGGCCGAGGCAGGCAGATCATGAGGTCAGGAGATTGAGATCATCCTGGGTAACATGGTGAAATCCCAAAAAGATAACAACAGTCTTGGAGTTTCTGGCATATGAGTGTTGCTAACACTCTCACTAAACACTTTGCAATGTGGATTTCCCAGAAGTGCTGGTGCCTCTTAAACAGTTCAGATTCTTTTCTGAATATGGGGATCAAGAAGATGCAAGTGGAGTTACATGAATTTAGAGGAGAGTGACAAGATGGCTGGTGTTGGAGGGTGAACCTCAAACCACATAGTAGGAGAGCAAGTGATGAAAAAAGAGATAGTGTTAGGTTCCGTGATATCTCAACTTGTTCTCTATGACTCCAATCAGTTGACCCACATCCAAAGTGTAAAAACTGCAGGGAAATTAATTCTGATCCTACACAAAACTACTCAAGAGGGGCCAGTTGCCATGGTTGCTGAAGGTGCTTAAGTGGCTGGGCCTGCTCAGGGGTTGCTGTAGAGAAGATTCAGTCATTGGACACAGGCGGACTATAACAGGGCCTCTAACTTATCTTCTATTCCTGTGACTTGGAACAATGTATTGCTATGCAAAAAATGAGGGCCCATGAACTCGTTTTTCA